CGGGGAGCTACCCTGAACGCTTTCTCCCCTAAGTCCCCCTCGGGGGGATGATGGAGCGATACTGCCCCTTACTCTATTCCTACGGAATAGCGGGCCAGGAAAGAGCATATAAGGGCTTCCCCGTACTCCATTCCATGGGATGTTTTTCTTTGAAGTTCCCGCGAGGGCGGACCCGGAAGGAAGAAGGAGACTCCAGATACGGAAGAACCCAGTCGCTTGCTTCCGATTCCCCTACTCGACCTGATTCAATCCCTTCTACCTTCCTGTTGCATCTTTCTGCATGATGAACCTCTGGGGGGAGCAGCGGAGTTCTAGTCTATCTCTTTCTATTTCTTTTCTATATATGGAAAGTTCAAAAATCATCATATAATAATCCAGAAATTGCAATAGAAAAACACGTTATCATTATACTAAGTTAGAGTATAGTAGTTCTAGTTAGAAAGTGACCAAGGACTGCCACTTTTCACCATCCAATGCACTTTTCGTTGAGGATCAAGGACTTACTCCTTCCATCGTCCAAGGTACTTTGTGTTAAGGACTAAGGATTTACTCCTTTGACCGTCCAAGGCACTTTGTGTTGAGGACCAAGGACTTGTTCCTTCTATCGTCCAAGCAACTTTGTGTTAAGGACCAAGGACTGACTCTTTCAACTGTTCAAGACACTTTGTGTTGAGGACCAAGGATCTGCTCCTTCCATCATCCAAGGCACTTTGTGTTAAGGATCAAGGACTGAATCTTTCAACTGTCCAAGACACTTTGTATTGAGGACCAAGGACCTGTTCCTTCCATCGTCCAAGGCATTTTGCGTTAAGGACCAAGGACTGGCTCCTTCAACTGTCCAAGACACTTTATGTTGAGAACCAAGGACCGGTTCCTTCCATCGTCCAAGGCATTTTTTATTGAGGACCAATGACTTGCTCCTTCCATCGTCCAAGGCACTTTGTGTTAAGGACCAATGACTTGCTCCTTCTATCGTCCAAGACATTTTGTGTTAAGGACCAAGGACTGACTCCTTCGACCATCCAAGGCACTTTATGTTGAGGACCAAGGACCTGCTCCTTTCATCGTCCAAGGCACTTTATGTTAAGGATCAAGGACTGACTCCTTCAACTGTCCAAGCACTTTGTGTTGAGGACCAAAGACCTGTTCCTTCCATCGTCCAAGGCACTTTGCGTTAAGGATCAAGGACTGGCTCCTTCAACTGTCCAAGACACTTTGTGTTGAGAACCAAGGACCGGTTCCTTCCATCCTGGAAGGCATTTTTTAGAGAGGCTACTTACATATTTGGGAGAATCGGGATTTTAGACAATAAACCAATTTGAGAGGTTTACTGCCCCCTTTTTGTTGGCTGATTATTACTTTTTTTTTGTTTTACAGGCATGGCTGGAACAAGTTCTGATGATAAAGTGTGCTCTGACATGCACGAAATTGTTGAGCTTAAAAATCAAGGCAAAAGTTATTTGCGTTTCAAAGATACTGATGTGAAGTACCATGCCCAGACAGGCGTACGAGGTGAACTTAAATTTAGTGTCCATAAGCCAACGACAGATCCTTCCCCCGACCTTCTGGAGCCATTGTCAGAGTTGCATATGTCTACCATTAGTGAATGTCACGAGAGTTTGGATATTGGCAAGTCCAATCGCTCTAGCAGCCATCTTCCCTTTTTGTATTTTCCACCTCATCATTCCCAGAGCATGGAGTACATTCCAAGGGCTGTGATTTGTGAGAAGATTGATAATAGAGAAATACGATGGGGAAGCACACTGGTAAGTCGAGGAGAGATTTCTTTTCTTTCAAAATTTTGGGAGTGGTCTTTGTGGGTCCAGAAACTTCTGCTCAAGAGGAACCTCCGTGAGTTAGCTTTTGCAGTTAGTTCTACTGTAAAAGATTACCATCGCCTAAACTCCATTTACAGAGCTTTTTGTGAGGTTTGGTGTCCAGAAACCAACACATTTGTGACTGCCAATGATGAAATTGGCATTTCTCTTTGGAACATCTGCGAGATAAGTGGACTTACGATCATGGGTCATTATTATGAGGAAGTAGTCCCAAGCCTTTCAGAGTTGACGGATCATCTTCCCAAGTCTTGTTTGTATCTCTTTAATGTTTTCGCATTGATTGCTCATGCGAATGAATCTGATAGAGTTACTCACGAACAGTGGATTAATTTTTGGTTTCATGAGAATGGTTGTGTCCCAAACCCTCCACAACACAAAAATTATAAGAATGCTATGAATTTAAATCCATTCAAAAGGCGCCATCAAAGAACATCGAAGGAAATACTGAGGCCTGTGGTGGCAGACAAGCCGAGAGGCATTACTCGTAGGGATCGACGTCATTGGGGCAATTTTCCAGTATCTCTGTCTATGGAAGAAGAAGAGGAATTAGAGACAGTAGCCTATCTTTCCCTATGGCTTTATCGCTTCGTTCTTCCGTCTGGGGACGAAAGTATAAGAGTTGGAACTTTTAAACCATCTTCTAGGATGGCAGGCGGATACACTTATAGTCTAGTTCCACCCATATTGGCGAGCATTTATAGTGGACTTACACGAACATCTAACTATCAAGCAAATCCAGACCTTGGCTCAATTTCACATTCATTCCCTAGACATTTTCTTTATGTTTGGGTAGCAACTTATTTTGTCCGAGGTGTTTATGCTCATGTAGACAAGAGTTATTTTCGCCCTATAATTCGAAGATATGCTGGAACTCTGAATGCTTTTCAATCTTGGGAGAAAAATGTCGTTGATTGTCGAGAATTTATCCGTGGAGCGATGAACACCGATAACTTTTGCTGGAATCCATTACCCTCATCGTCTCATCCTGATGTACGTGTAGATGACCAATCGAGGTCTACAGATACTTCAGAATTCATGATGAGTATTCGATCTGGATTTGTTTCTTATCGTCGAGGAAATTCACCTTTCATTCTTGAGGCGTATAATCCTCACAGGTTTGCGAGACAGTTTGGCTTTAGATAGGAACTTCCCGGTTCACCAAGAAAGTTGAATATTGTCCCCAGTGTAGGCGACATGTATCGGGTTTGGTTGTCCTTAACTCGGATAAAAAGTGGGTCTGTATTTCATATTCCAGAGTATGTTAGGGATATACATGAAAACATTGATGTTGAATACCAGGCTTGGTGGAATAGCAAAGTGTTACCACTCTTGACCAAGGTCCAGGTGTAAGTCTTATTTTCTAGTGAGAGCTGTGACTTTGTTCTTGGCTCGACTCCAAACAGGGTTTTAGCTAGAGGGTTAAACCCTCCAAATGTTGCTCCTGAAGAGGCTTCTCAAAAGAGAGATCTAAACTAGCAAGATGAAAGAGGTATTAAGAGAATCAAAATTATAGTTCCCTCGGCAAAGGTTGCTGCCACCTCTGAGCCTGCTGATAAGGTGCCAGAAGCAATTTTGATTCCAGATCACAGTAGTCCTAGAGATCGAGTATCACAAGCACCAGGAAAGACTGTGACTCCAGAAGATGAAAGTTCTAGAGATCAGGTATAGTTTTCCCTTTTTTATTTTTTATTTTATGTACTGCTTGTATCTGATTTTCTGTCACAATATTCAATTTTAGGCTCCTCTTTCTCGAATATACAAAATTAAAGGACCAATAGAATTGAGGCCGCTTCAAGCTATTCCGAGTCTTTCAAAAGGTGAAGTTGAAGCTTCTCACATTAACCTCAGCCTCCCGAACACATCATCAGACGGTGAATTTTTAGACATGTCGCCCAGGACACGAAATGCAGGTATGTGCCCTGTTGTTGTTTGCTGTACTTTTTCCTTTTTTTTTGTTGAAACCATGCTCTATTTCTTGTAGGTTTTCCGAGCATCCCTGAAGAACTAAACTTCTCCATGAATCCAAACTTTTTGCAAGATCAGACTAGCGAGAATGACGGGTGAATCGATGCACTTCAAGGAATAGATGGTATTCATGATTCTCATGACCTTCTTTGCAAATATCCAGGCACCATCAATGGAGGTACTTTGGTGCATATCATGGACAATTTCAATGTTGAAGATGAAGTAAATTCAGGGACTGTGAGAGCTAACATTTCAGAGGTCAATCAAGGAGTTCCTGTCGTTCCATGTTCGTTGGCTTTAGTCAGTATTTCACCTTCACAAACAAATAATCATCGGGCCATACCAATCTGTTCTTTCATGTCTGGTCCTCCACCTGGAATTACCCAAGAGTCTCCTTATCTAAAGGCTGCTCTGCAAGAAGCTATGAATAATTACCTCTAGAAATGTTTTAAGGATGTCTTAAAGTATGGATTCTCCAATATTCGATCTTGGTGGGATGAAAATAATTTAATTCTTCAGAATGTGATTACCAACTCATTCCATGCAGACCCAGAACCTTTGATGAAATGCATGGATGTGTTTCTGTAAAAAATTGACTCTTACTTGTCCGAAAGAAAGTAGCACTTGGATTGTCCAACCGTTGAAGAAAAGGCGGAGGAGTTGAAACTTTTGAACATTCAACTGGAAGTAAATGATTCCACATGTTCTTCGTTGAGAGGCAAAATTAGTGAGCTAACCTTTGAACTAGATAGACTTCGTGATGAACTTCAAGCCCAAGAGGAAGACAAAAGTATGATTGGAACCAAGAAGGCAGCATTGGAAGAAGCACAGACAAGAGATGTCGCTAGCATAGCATCCATTGACTAGAAAAGGAAGACCCTTAAAGATAGTTTCCTGCAAGTGATCAATGGCGAGTGATCCTGATGAAGTCATGAATTTCTGATCTCTTTTTTTTTAAGACCATATTGTTTGAATTTTGACTTACTATTTTTATTAGGATGAACTTTTCTTTTTCATGTTTCTTGTTTTTTTTTACAGCAATTGATAAACAAATTGAATGAATTTATTAGTTGTGACTGAACTTGAATTTATAATTTATGCAAGCTGCCTATGTACCCAAACGGATCAAGTCGAACGTAGTTCATTACAAGAACACAATTTTTTTTGTACAATGAAAAATTTAAAAAATAAAGAACTTCAGGCGTAAAAACGCTTTAAAAATTTTCCATTGATAGGTCCGATTTGCAATCCATCTTTTTCGACGATCTTGTACGCTCCGTTAGTGAATGCATGAGTAACAAGAAATGGACCATCCCATTTAGGTTGGAACTTGCCCCCTATTTTTCTTATGATTATGATTGGCCTACGCACGAAAAGTACCAGATCTCCAACTTGAAATGATCTTGGTCGCACCTTTTTGTTGAAAGACTTGGCCATTCGAGCTTGATAGCACTCTAGATGCATTTGTGCTTCTAACCTCTTCTCATCCAAAGTTTCTAGCTTTTCCAATCGAAGGCGGGCATTTTCTTCAGTTATCAAACCTTCCTGGATAGCAATTCGAAGTGACGGAATTTGACACTCCAGGGGAAGGACAGCTTCTACCCTATATACTAAGGCATAAGGAGTGGCTTGTGGTGGAGTCCGATAAGTAGTTCGATAAGCCCACAAGATTTCACCGATTTTCTCATGCCAATCTCTTTTTGATCTGGAGACAACCTTTTTCAGCAGACTGCATAGTGTTTTGTTGAATGCCTCTGCCAATCCATTAGCTGCCGCATTATACATGGACGAGTTGTACTGTTTGAATCCAAACTTTGCACATAAATTGTTTATGTGGCTATTGCAAAATGGCTTGCCATTATCAGTTATGATATGTCACGGGACACCATATCGATAAATGATTTGGATACGAATGAAATCTGCGACATTTTCTTTCTTTACTTCCTTTAATGGTATGGCTTCGGCCCACTTAGAGAAGTAGTCGGTCCCCACGAGGATGTATGCATGCTCTGCTGAAGACTTTGGAGTTATAGGTCCAATTACATCAAGACCCCATGCATCAAACGACCATGAAGCTATTGTTGGATGTAATGGTTCCGGAGGTTGATAGATGAAATTTCCATGGATTTGGCAAGCTTCACATTTTCTTGCATAATCCATGGAGTCTTGTACCATAGTTGGCCAGTAATATCCCATCCTCTTTATTCGAAAATAGAGTTTGGGTCCAGACTGGTGGGCACCACAAATTCTAGAGTGGGCTTCTTCCACGACTTGCGTTGCTTCATCATTACTTAGGCATTGAAGGAAAACTCCATCAAATGATCGTCGATAAAGTGTTCCCTTATAAAAGATAAAGCGAGAGGCACGCCTCTTGATTTCTGTTTTTCGCCTTGGATTATCTGGTAGTTTTTGATGTTGAAGGAAATCAATTATTGGCTGTCTCCAATCTTCTCTTTCCTTATCTTCGACTACTTCGACACTATTGTTTTCTTCCAAATTACTGGCTAGCAATGACAAAAGCACCCATCTTTGAGCGATTGATATGGAGTGGAAAAATTCTTCATCTGATCTAGCTAAAACAGCAGCCAAATTAGCTAAGGCATCAGCTTCCTTATTTTCACTTCTCGGGACGAATTTGATTTTTATCGAATCAAATCGTCTCACAAGCATTGCTGCATGTTCATGATATGGTTTCAAGTCTGAATTACGGACTTCATATTCAGCTAAAAGTTGGTTGATTATCAATTTAGAATCTCCAAAGACTTCAAGCTGGTGAATATCCATATCTAAAGCTGTCTCTAAGCCGATGATAAGAGCTTGATATTCTGCCACATTATTCGAACATTTCTCTGTTAAGGCAAATGAGTAGGGCATGAGGAGATCATGAGGAGTGATGAAGACCACTCCTGCTCCGGCACCATAACTTCGGGTTGCCCCGTCGAAGTATAGTCTCCATGATGGTATGATTTTGGTGAATAGAACTTCTTCATCGGAAAGGTCTTCCTGAAGTTCCCATTCTGCTGGAATTGGGTGGTCAGCAAGGAAATCTGCCAAAGTTTGTCCTTTAATGACCTTTTGTGGAATGAATTTGATGTCGAACTCAGACAACAGTAATGCCCATTTTCCAATCCTTCTAGAAAGAATCGGCCTGGACATTATGTACTTCAACGGATCAATCTTTGAAACAAGATTGATTGTATGTGATAGCATATAATGCCTCAACTTTTTAGCTGAGAAGATTAACGTGAGGCATATTTTTTCAATAGGCGAATACTTCATTTCAGCGCCTACTAGTGTCCGGCTCAAGTAATAGAGTGCATTCTCTTTTCCTTCTTCGTTAACTTGGGCAAGGAGTGCCCCTAGAGAACATTCTTGTGCTGCAACATAAAGAGTCAGCGACTTCCCTGGAACTGGAGCTGTGAGTACTGGTGGACGTGATAAATATTGTTTAATACTTTGGAAAGCATTTTGACAAGCGTCATCCCATTCAAATGGTACATCTTTCTTCACCAATTTGTTGAATGGATGACAACGTCCAGCTAGATTAGAGATAAATCTTCGAATGTATGCAAGTTTTCCTTGAAGACTTTTCAACTCATGTACATTTCTTAGCTCTGGCATGTTGATTATAGCTTCAATTTTTGATTGATCTATTTCAATGCCTCGGTGTCGAACAATGAAGCCGAGAAATTTTCGAGAGATGCCGCCAATGTACATTTCAATGGATTAATCTTTAATTGATGTCTTCGAAATTTTTTGAAAACATCTCGTAAATCTTGTAAATAATCGTTGCGTCTTTTTGTTTTAACAACAAGGTCATCCACATAACATTCAACGTTCTTATGTAGAATATCATCGAAAATCTTTTGCATTGCTCGCTGGTAAGTTGCCCCCGCATTTTTTAATCCAAAAGGCAGAACTTTGTAACAATATATACCTTTAGGGGTACGAAATGATGTGAGTTCCTCGTCTTTTGGGTTCATCCGTATCTGATTGTATCCAAAAAACCCGTCCATGAAAGATAAGACTTCATATCCGGTAGTTGCATCCACCATCAACTATGTTATTGGAAGTGGAAAATCATCTTTCGGACATGCTTGATTTAGATCCCAAAAGTCGACGCAAATTCGTAATTGCCCGTTCTTCTTTTTGACAGGAACAATGTTTGCGATCCATATTGGATATTTCACTTCACATATAAATCCAGCTTCAATAAGTTTGTTGACTTCCATTTCAATTTGAGGAATCAGTTCTGGTCGAAATCTTCTTTGAGGTTGTTTGACTAGTCGAACTCCATGTCTTACCGCAAGATTATGCACTGCAACCTTAGGATTTAACCCCGACATTTCTTTGTAAGACCATGCAAACATGTCTTTGTATTCGTGAAGCAAACTAATGTACTCAGATTCTTCCTTTTGACTGAGAAGGGCGCTTACAAATACTGGTCTTGGGTCTTCTTCTGTCCCCCCAGGTTCAATTGTTTCAAGTCATCCACAATAGTTTGTCCCCCTTCTTCAAAAGTAGGTGGGGCTGGTTTAGGTTCATCAGTTGTGACAGAACTTTCGGACTCGGAGTCTGAATCGGGAGCTTCTCCAAAGGCTATGTGATTGACAGAGACTTCTTCCTTTTCTTCACTCTCCTTTGGAGATGGATGAACTTTTTGTTATCTTCGTCTTCTTCTTGACCGTTGTGGCTTTAGGCTTGGATCAGAAGTTTTAATCCCAAGTCGAGAAAATGCAGATTGTCTTTGGGATGATATTTGGGGAGCTTGTGCATTCCTATCAATTTGGGTAGAAGAAGAATCTTCGCTTAATCTTTGGAAGACAGAAACTTTACCTTTTACATCGACCATTGGGGAGGGTTCTCTTTTTAACCTTTTAAACATCGAAACTCTGGCATTCTCATTTTTAATTCGATAGAACACTGAAGGTTTTCGCTGTTCAGATTTCTCTTCTGCAACTTCATAAATTTGAATCATGATGGGATTTGAGGAAACCTTCTTGACCTTAATCTTTCTCGGTAGATTGGGATCATATCCCAAAGCATACCTGGGTCGGGACACCAAGTCTCCGTTAGAATTAGAAGGGGGGCACCCTCCTGAAAGGACAACATCTAGATCACCTAATTTACGAGGCTCTTCTTTTCCAAACCCAGCATTTTTGAACAACTTCTTAACTTGAGGATTGTAACATCCTTTGAAAGTTTGTTTTGATTCAGCAGCTCCTTCTTGTTTGGACGAGCTGGAAATATAAATTTTTAATATGTCGGGAAGAGATGTTGAAGCCGTTGAAGCCTCTGATGTAGACTTATATTCTTTGGGGCCCGCCATAAGTTGGTGGGGCAGAAGCAATTTTGGGATACTAGGTATTGGAAGAGTTAACTCTTTTCTCAATACCTCATTATCGGTTGATTCTACTTGAGATTTTTTGCCTTTAGTAAATCTTGACTTATCTTTGATAAGTTGATGAGATTGAGCAGCCCTAGACGTACCATGATTGTTTGTATCTTCTTTGATTTTGAATCCAGATATGGTCAACCCTGAAGAATTACATTCTTCACCTTCCATGTAAAACTTAGCATCGGCAAAATGAGATTCTTCTTCGAGAAAAGGTTTCGACTCAGCTATCACACATTTGACTTCTCCATCTCAGCTATATTTGAAGCATTGGTGCCAAGTCGAAGGTACCACTCCAGTTTCGTGTAGCCAAACACGTCCAAGGAGTAACTCATATGATGTTTAAGGATCAATGACATGGAAAAGAGCCGAGGAGATTAACTCTCATATTTGCAGCTTTAGGTAAATCATGCCAATGGCTCGCTGACCTTTTTGATTGAATCCTTGAATCGTGATTTTGCTTCTGGATAGATTATCAACATTGATTCCAATTTTCTTCATTATTTTGACCGGCATAATATTTACAGCAGATCCACAATCGATCATTATACGATTTATCTTGCACCCTCGAATATAACCGCTGACATACAGTAGTCTATAATGTGGACGTGAACCTAGTTGTAAATCTCCATCGTCGAATGTTATGTCGGCCATACAGTCTTGAGGAGTTGTGGCTCCAATATGTTCTAAAGCTTTACCTTCGTATTCTTTCAGATCGATTAATGCTGCGACCAAGGCCATCCGATCATCGAAGAGAAGGGCAAGAGACTCTACTAGACTTGTATTGGCAGGAATATTATTGAGTCGTGAAATAGTTTTCTTCTGTTTTGAAGTCTGCCTTGATACGTTCTTCATTTCATCTTTTTCCTCCACATTGATTATGTTGGAGGTTAGACATTCTTTATCAAAGAAACCCTTAGGAAAGTAATCACCCAAGGTCGGTAGACTAGGAAGAATGCGTGGAGCTGCTCCCTCTTCGGTTGATTTAGTAGATACTCTTGGCTTGGCTTCAGGCCTCCTTCTTTGATTGTTCCTTGGTCTTGATTTCTTGTCACAAAAGTTAGAAACTGGGAGTTGTGGAGCCTTCCAACGACGTCTTTTCACTAGGGTCCATGCCCCCTGATCTTCTTCTAGTGTTTCTTTTTTATTGGGTTGAATTTTCGTATCCAATTCCTTCAACTTTGTTCATGCAAGAGGCGTAAAAGGTAATATTTTACCTATTTTGTTTGACATTCTATATTTCTCTTTCTTTTTTATGAAGGTAGACCAGCCGTCACCGATCTCGTCTTCTAATTCTGAGTCGAAATCCCAAACATCCAAGTCTCCTGTCATAATTTCATAAAAGGTTGGATGATTGGGTGTCTTTGGTCCATTCATCCCTGGATATATATAACTAATGGTGATTTCTCCGTCTACCTCAAATTTCACTGGGATGGCTCCTTCTGGGAGTTGAGGTCCAAATTCCTCAACGGAGGATTTACAGGCATCGTGTACATCAGAGAATGTTTGTTTCTCTCCTGGAATGGGAATTGGATCAAATGATCCAAATGAAACCATCGAGCATGTGGCTGTTGGATTCTCTTCGGTCTCAAGTTTGATCTTATTTTCTTTATCCAAGCGAACAATAAGATCTTTCAAAACAAAGCATTTTTCCACTGGATGGCTAATGATCCTGTGAAATTTACAGTATTTAGGATGATCGATCTTACCAGCCTCCTCAGGTCTTTTTGGCACTGGAAGTTTGATTATTTTCTGTTCAAGGAGTTGATCCAGAATTCCAGAAACTTCTGAATTTGAGAATGGGTACTTCCTTCCTTCAAGTTCCTTTAGAGTCACATGACTTCTACTTTGGACTTGTCCTTTGTTAGGTATGAACTCTAGCTTCGGTTTTGAGTTCAAGATCGACCCTTGGAAGGCTATCTTTGCAAGAGCAGTAGAAATCGCCATAGCCTCTTTGGATTTACTTGTCTTGACGTCCTTCTTTATATCCTTCTTAGGATCTTTTTTGTCACTTGGTAAATAACTCCCATGCCTTGCAATTTGGAGCTCCAGGTCATGAGCACGTGTCGCCAATTCTTCGAATGAGTAAGGCATGTTTGCTTGGAGATTGTAGAGTAATCCCCAATGCATGCCTTGTACACACATGTCGATGGAAGATGCTTCACTTATTCGTTCTTTACAATTAAGCACAAGGTTTCTCCAGCGTTCAATGTACTCTACTACAAGCTCTTCCTTGCTCTGCTTTGTTCGAGCAAGTTCTGGAAGGCTGACAGTTCGTCGGGTGCTGTAGAAGCGTGTTAAGAACTCTCGCTCGAATTGATCCCAACTATCAATTGACCCTGTCGGTAAGTCTGTGTACTATTCAAATGCAGAACCTTTGAGGGAGCATACGAACTGCTTCATCATTGTGTCATTGTAAGTACCTGTATTGTTACATGTCTCAATAAAATGAGCAACATGTTGCTTTGGGTTGCCCTTTCCGTCAAAACATTGAAACTTCGGAGGTTGGTAACCAAGTGGCATCCTTATTTCATCGATTTGACGACTATAGGATTTGGCATACACCAATGAAGATTGCAACGAACCACCATATTGGGCACGAATGGTGTCCGCAATCATATGTTGAAGTTGTTGGACGGATAGAGAGCCAACGGAGAGTTGAGTGGCGTCACGCAACACATTTTGAACAATTGTTTGATCATGTATATCTTGCTTTTGCTGATGTTCTTGGACTTCTAACTTTGTGTTCTTGGAAGATCCTAAATTTTCCTGATCTTCTTTAAACGGTGGATTTTGCGACTCTAGTTTATGCATGAGTGCGGTAATTTGGGCATCTTTTTCTTCTAACGACTTTGTTAATTTTTCAATAGCTAAAGCCATTTGTTGGATTCGATCATCTGAGCCCGATGCCGCTTCTGTGACCATCACTAGCTCAAGTGATTCTTATGATGAAGTATCATCTACCCACTTTTACTGAGAAGTAGCATGAGGGGATCTAGATAAGGATCTACCACTGGAGATAGATCCCGAACGAGAGTTTTTCGTCGAACTCATGGTTTTTTGTGTCGAATGAGAGTTTGGCTTTCTGAAGGCAATTTTCATTCTGTTTTTGTTGGAGAATTTCTTTAGTGGTGTGACCAGTTGAGTTTTCCCAGTTTTTGTTTGGGCCCTGGTCGCGTGGAAGAGTTCAGCAAGTGTCTCTTCGAGATGAGTCATAGTTTGTTTC